AAGAAGAAGAAGAAGAAGAAGAAGAAGAAGAAGAAGAAGAAGAAGAATTATTACTAGGGTTATTTGAAAAATCTGTATGTGTGCAGTTTAAATTTAAAAATCTATTTATTACATTTATTGAGATTTAATTCACTTAACATATAATTCGACCACTTATATTGTACAATTCAGTGGTTTTTAGTATAGTCACAGAGTTATACAACCATTACCATACTGCAATCAATTTTAGAACATTTTCATTACTCCAAAAAGAAACCCGATACATATTAGCAGTCACTCTCCATTTCTGAATTTCATATAAATTAAATCATACAATATGTGGTCTTTGAAGAGAAAATATTTGCAAATCAACTATCTGATATGTGTTTGGAGAATATATAAAGAACTCTTACAATTTGAGAATAAAAAGAAAAACAATGCATGTTTCTGTGCTGGCAAAGGATTTGAATAGACATTTTTCCAAAGAAAATATACAAATGATTAATAAACACATGAAAAGATGTTCAACATCATTAGCCATTAGGGAAATGCAAATCAAAACCAAAATGAGATACCATTTAACATCCACTGGGATGGCTACAATACAAAAGACAGGTAATAACGTGTTGGCAAGGATGTGGAGAAATAAGAACCCTGATACATTGCTGTTGGAAATGAAAGGTGCAGTTACTTTGGAAAACAGTTTCAAAATCCCTCAAAATGTTAAACATATAATTACCATATGATATAGCAAGTCTATTCCTGGGTATGTAACCAAGGAAAATGAAAACATATATCCACACAAAAACTTGTGCTTAAATGTTTATATCTTTATTCATAATAGCCAAAAGTGGAAGCAACCCAAATGTCCATGTATTGATGAACATATAAATAAAATGTAGTATATCCATATAATGAAATACTGTTTGTCAACAAAAAAATACATGTTACAATATGGATGAACCTTGAACACATTAGAATTGAACTAATGGAGATAGAAAGTAGAAAGTTGGTTATCAGAGGCTGAGAACGGTAGTAGGAGGCTAGGCAGGAGGTAGGGATGGTTAATGTTAATCAGTACAAACAAAAGTTATAAAGAATGAATAAGGCCTACTATCTGATAGCACAACAGAGTGTTTAAAGTCAATAATAACTTCATTATACATTTTTAAATAACTCAAATAGTTATAATTGAATTATTTGTAACTCAAAGTATAAATGCTTGAGGAGATGGCTACCCCATTTTCTATGATGTGTCTGTTTCATATTGCATGTCTATATCAAGACATCTCATGTACTCCATAAATACATACACTTACTATACACCCATAAAAATTAAAATGAAAAAAATAAAATCAGAAAAATAAAAATAAATAAATAAATAATACTGTAAAACTATAGCAGTCAAGACAGTGTAGCATTCACTGTTGTTCACCGCAGTACTAGAAGACCTAGCTAGGAACAGTCAGACAAGAGACAGAAATAAAGGGCATCCAAACTGGAAAGGAAGAAGTCAAATTATCCTTGCTTGTAGATGATATGATCTTACATTTGTAAAAACCTAAAGACTCCACAAAAAAAACAACTACATAAACACATTCAGTAATGTTGCAGAATACAAAATCAACATGTAAAAACTAGTGGCATTTTAAGATGGCAACAGTGAACAATCTTAAAAAGAAAATAAGAAAGTAATTACATTTACAATAGCTACAAATAAAATTAACACCTAGGAATTAATGAAGGAAGTGAAAGATCTCTACAATGAAAATTATAAAACACTGATGCAAGAAATTGAAAAGTAAACACACAATATGGAAAGATATTCCATGTTCATGGATTGAAAGAATCAATATTGTTAAAATGTTCATATTACAGAAAGCAACCTGCATATTTAATGCAATTCCTATCAAAATACAAATGACATTCTTCATAGAAATGGAAAGAAAATCTTAAAAAATATATAAAACAACAACAACAACAACAACAAAAAAGAAAAAACAGAATAGCCAAGCCTATTTTGAGCAAAAAGAACAAAACTGGAGGAATCACATTACCTGACTTCAGATTATACTGCAGATCTGTGGCAACCAAAATAGTATGGTACTGTAATAAAAACAGACACCTAGACCAATGGAAAAGTATAGAGAACCTAGAAACAAATTCGTATGTCTACAGTGAACTCATTTTTGAAAAAGGTTTCACAAACATGCATTGGGAAAACTGGATATCCATATGCAGAAGAATGAAACTAGACCCCTGTCTTTCACCATTTACAAATATCAGATAAAAATCAATTAAGACAAATCTAAGACCTCAAATTATGAAACTACTGGAAGAAAACACTGGGGAAACTCTCCAGGACATTGGACTGGGCAAAAATTTGTTGAGTAACATCCTACAAGCACAACCAAAGCAAAAATATACAAATGAGATCACATCAAGCTATAAAATTTTTGCACAGCAAAGAACACAATCAGGAAGGTGAAGAGACAACCCACAGAATGGGAGAAAATATTTGCAAACTACCCATCCAACAACAAATAAATAAGCAGAATATATATGGAGTTCAAAAATCTCATAATCCAATTAAAAATGGACAAAATATCTGAATAGACATTTCTCAAAAGAGGACATATGAATAGCAAACAGATATAGGAAAGGGTGTTGAACATCACTGATAATCAGAGAAATTTAAATAAAAACTAAAAGGAGATATCATCTCACCCCAGTTAACGTGGCTTTTATTTAAAAGTCAGGCAATAACAAATGCTGGCAAGGATGAAAAAAAAAAAAAAAAAAAAAAGATAAAAAGTGGGAAAGGATATAAACTGGTCCTTCTCCAAAGAAGACATACCAATGCCAACAAACATGAAAAAATACTTAATATCTTTAATCATCAGAGGAATGCAAATCAAAACCACAGTAAGATGCCATCACATACCAGTCAGAATAGCTACTATTAAGAAGTCAAAAAATAACAGATATTGGCAAGGTTGCAGAAAAAAGGGAACCCTCTTACACTGTTGGTGGGAATGTAAATATACAACCACCATGGAGTAAAGTTTGGGAGTTCCTCAGAAAACTAAATATAGAGCTACCATATGATCCAGCAGTCCTACTCCTAGGTATATGCCCAAAAGAAAGAAAATCAGTATATTGAAGAGATACCTGCCTTCCCATGTTTATTGCAGCAGGATATACAATAGCCAAGATTTGGAAGCAACCTAAGTGTCCATCAACAGATGAATGGATAAAGAAAATGTGGTACATATATACAAAGGTGTATCACTGAGCCATAAAACAGAATGAGATCCTGTCATTTGCAACATTGATGGAACTGGAGGTCATGTTAAGTGAAATAAGCCAAGCACAGAAAGAAAAATGTCACATGTTACCACTTATATGTGGGAGCTAAAATTAAAACAAACTCATAGAGTTCAATTTTCCCATACTTATTTGTGGGAGTTAAAAATTAAAACAATTGAACTCATGTAGTTAGAGAGTAGAATGATGATTACTAGAGACTGGGAAGGATAGTGGAGGAGTGAGTGTTTGAAGGGAATTGGGGATTGTTAATGGCTACAAAAAACAGAAAGAATGAATAAGACCTAGTATTCGCTAGCACAATAGGGTAACTATAGTCAAAAATAATTTAATTGTACATTTTAAAAGTATAATTGGATTGTTGGTAACACAAAGGATAAATTCTTGAGGTGATAGATACCCCATCTACCAAAATGTGATGATTATGCAATGCCTGCATGTATCAAAATATCTCATGTAATACATAAACATATATACCTACTATGTACCCATAAAAATTAAAATAAATTTAATAAGCTATTTTATCCAATTTTTCATCATTATAAGTTTTTGAATAATACCACTAAATATAAATCTTTCTTCTCATTTATAATCATTTCCATAGGATAGAATCCTAGAAGCAAAATTACTGGTATAAATTTTTTAAAGGGTCATTGGATAAGGCCGAATAGTTTTCCAGAAACTTTAACAAATAGCTACATGAGGGCCTGCTATATTCCAGATATTATTTCAGGTAGATTATATTATACCAATTTTACAAATGAACAAACTAAGATCCATTGACATTATTTTTCTAGAGTTATGGAGATAACAAGAGGCAAGCTAGAATTCAGATTCATAATTGCTCAATTTTAAAGCTATTGTTATTTCCATGTGGATTTCAAAAATAGTATTTTTGAAGTGTCAAATTATATAGTTACTAAAGAAAATGTGGAAAATGCAAGTAGAATGTAGAGAAAATGAAAATAAATTACCCATGAATCCACCACTTTCAATAGTTCAGTGTATTTCCTCAGTCTTTTGTGCCAAATATAATTTTGGTTGTTAAAAATAACTATAGCATTGTATGTATAATTTTATATCCTGCCTTTTTCACTTAACATTTTTCAGTGCTCATCTATAATCTTCATAAATGTAATTTTAATGGTCACATATTATTGTCAAGTGGGTATTACCATATGAATATTTACAGTTGTTCAGTTCATCTGTGAATTTCTTCTCTTCATTCCCAGGACTCACCATCTTCGTCTCCCATGAAGCTTACAGAGTTCAGTGTTGGAAATCATTGTAATCTTCAAAATAAGTCACCATGTTGGACTGAAAGCTTCAAAATTTGAAAGAATTCCATCAAATACTTGCTGTGCAAATGTTTCTGGACCTTACATTATTTAATTTGCTGACCAAAATCCAATTCGGTATTTGGTAGCAGTTAATTCAAGCCAGTTTTTTTTTTGTTTGTTTCTTCATTTCCCCTGCCCCAATCCATGAAAGCCTAAATGTAAAATATATCTTTTCATTCATCATATCAGGTAAAAGAGAATTCAGAAAATTTCCTTGGAGTCTTTAATTTTCCCACAAAGATTATTAATCACATAATAGGGCCTTTTTGGTGTTGAAGGGAACCAGGCTACATTTGCTGCTCATGTGCATGTGTATTTGTGAACATATACCGCATATCTATACAAAATTCTGCTATAGTATGAAAATCAAGGCTAAAAACCTGATTATGATTTTTATATAAATAGCAACTTAAGTATTTACTAGACTTTGAATCATCACTATATCAGGTATCTAAATTTTGGGATGGTGATTGAATACACTGACCAAGGTCCTCAAATTGGGACTTGAACAACAATGTAAAACCTATTCCATCACAAACATTCCTGAAAACACCACAGCGAACCCATAAGATGAAAATCAGGACTTACACTTATTAAGCATAATAATCAGTATTTTAAAGATGTCTAATGTCAGACTGCAGAATTCTCATATTACTTTTATTCATTTATCTGCTACCTAGTTTTATTTTATCCTTTATGAATTACTTTTATGTTGAAAGAAAATCTATAAGCCTAAGTTATGGCCCATAGGTTTTGTTAAGGGTTTTCAGAGTGATTTTTGGGTTTAATTTTAATACCTTTCATAAGGGTAAAATTTTACAGCTGACAGCCTGAGGATTAGCACTAAAGAGCTGTGTTTTCATAGCAGGGATTATTGTACAGACAGGGATAACCAAATAGTAATATGCCAATTCTTTGTTCCTTTGTTTTAGCTTCAGTGGTAGCTAAGCCATTAAGACAGTTTGCATTGATTTCCCCATTTATTTATAATCAGTCTTTCTTTTAGTCCTAGTGCCTGAATCAATGAGTGTGAATACTAGTACTGCTTCTTTATAATAATATCTTCAGAGTATTGATGTCTTTAATTTTTTCAACCAGCAGTCTACTGCCCAGCTACTGACAATAAAAGCTCCAACTCTTACAGGGATCAGTGGGAATTAGAGATATCTTCAGATATCAAGTAATTGAGCTTCTAGAGGGATGGTTTGGTTTACTAACTTATCCCCGCTGAAATATTTTTGAGTAAAAAAGAGTTGCCTGCCACAATTTAGTGTTGAGGTTCCAGTGGAGCTGAGATAGTGAATAATCCAGCTACTTAAAACAACAACAAAAGCTGTTGATCTGGACCCCTAGGTAATTTTGACCAAGGTGAGACTTTTGGCATAAATTAAATGGATTGTGGTCAGCATTACATTTGAGAGAATACTAGGCATGACTACATTTATTAGGGTCAATGACTGTTAAACTCAGAAGCTAAAAAGCAGCCTAGAAGACTATGCACACACTGGGTTTCATGATCAAGTCTTATACATTCAGATGGAAAAACATTTCCCCTTCCACTCTTTCTCAAAATACTCTCTTGTTTGAGTTTCTCTTGATAGTTTATTTGGCCATCCCCATGGTCTTATGATAGACAAGTTTTTTCTTCTATAGATATAGATATGCACCTGTTTCTAAATGTATGGCCTTTACTTCCTACACAGCCAGTAGGCCTCAAAGTAATCTTCCTCTTTCCCATTGATTATCTTCTGTCAAGCATTCAGGCAGAGCAGCTGTTAACTATGATTTAAAGTCAGAAAAACATCAAGAAATTATTTAATGCATAGGGTGTATCAGCACTCAACTGCCACAGAAGTGAAGTCACAAAAGATAGTGTCAGTTAACTATAGGAAGTTCTGGAAAGGTAAAGCTCAGGAAAACTATAATGCAAAGCTGATTGTTTAATGTCTTACAGATTTACACTGTCTTTAAAAGGCCAAATAAATCAGGGTTTTACCAGGGAGCTCAGAGGAAAATAGAAAACCTATTCCTATCTTAGCATTTTGGTCTCATTGGTTTATAGACTCTGATATCTCTATCCATGGATCATCTGAGAATTGAATAATGTACATAGATACCCAAATGGTTGATTACTGATCGAGAATACAAAGTTTTGGTTAGTAATTAGCACACCCTGTTCTGGCTTCTTTGCTTGGTTTTCTTTGGAGTCCTGTCCAGTAACCTCTGTGGAATCTCATTACTAACTTACCCCCCCTGAAATATTTTCTCTTTGATATTCATTTTCTAATCTTTGATATTCATTTTCTCCATTTGCAAAATGAAGATACTCATTGTTATGATCCTATTGCTGAAAGGTGCTATGTAGCATTCTCGTGCTCTTATATGTCTTTAATTATAGGACTGGAATGAAAAGTTTAAACATAACAGTATTTCTAAGCAAAATTGTGTGCTCCATTCTTTTGTCTATGCTTCATTGCTGATTTATTCTTGCAAAACTTCGAGCACTTTGTTAATGTTATTTCATTCATTCCAACAGTGTCCTCAGAAAGAGCCAGAATAAAAAAATCTTCCCCATGGTACAGCTGGAAAAATTAAGGGGAAAAACAATTAAGTGGTCCCCAGTCGAACACAGCTGTCTTATGCAGGGCTCAAAGTTATCATGTCCAGTATACTGTTAAAGTGACTTGGCTTCCCAGTACTGGAATTATCATGGAGCAGTTAGAATTTTGAGAGTGCTTACAATAGGATCACATTCTGAAAGAATCACATTTTGTCAAAAACCTGAAAAGTATGCAATTTGTACAACTCTTACTGGTGATAGGAATGCAATATGTGCCTCTTTCCTCCACTGGCCCCATGTGACACATATCTTTCACACTACGTGACACCAACCAGTGCCATTACCTCCTGTGGCATCCATAGAGCCCACTCTCAGGGCAGACATTGCCAAGGTAAAGAATGCTCTCCATGTTTATGCCAAATTGCACAAAGTATAGACATTGAGGTTAATGGAGATTTAAGCACAATTCTAGAAAGTAAGTTTTAAGAATATTAAGTATACATTATTGTAACATGAACCTAAAACTTAACAGGACCCAAAGTCATAGGAAGGTAACAGTCATTGAAAGCCTATTCTTTTCACCTCTCATCACATATATCTACATACACCTATGCACATGTACACACACACACAACCCACAATTTCTCCGAAGCAGAAGCAAATACTTTAAAAGAATGATTCTCTGCCTTCTCCTTTTAAAAAAAGAGTCTAAGAATCACAGCATGTGAAGAACATTCCATTTATACATTCCAGAATCTCTGCTCTCAGAGTAGCTAAGAGATTCAGTACAAAAGATGTTCTGTGCAGAAGCACAGAGGGCGTCTAACAAGATTGCCAGGCCCTTGCACAAGATCCATATTCTTAGAAAGTTAATGAGTTCCATCTAGCTAGGAATTGGTTGACGAGATATGGTACATGTGCATTTCTTTAACCATAGCTGTAATGTACCATACTAAATTGTAGCCTCTTGCATGTGGGTATTATATAATATAATAATGAATGGATGGCTCCTAATAGCATGCAACTCATGACTGTTTAATTCTCCAAAAGGGCTAGGTCTGTTTCCTGCACAGTGTTCAAGATCATTAAATATGTTCTTTGTACCAAGATGGTACACAGCCATTGGCAGAGTGAGTTAAAACCAACAATGAATTCAATATAGCAAGAAATAGATTGTTAGTAGAGAATGGCACTAAAGGAAAAAAAAAAAACAATTAGATAAGATGCATTCAAGGAATAATTACTTTCACTCTGCCGGCTAAATCAGTGAAGGAACACAGAAGAAAAGCTGGCAGTGGGTCTTGGTAATATATGAACTATATTGGAGTGCCAGAAAAGGAGACCTTAGTAGTTAAGCTCAAGTTACCAATTTGCTACATTTTTTTCCCACCAATCTGCTCAAAGTGATTCTATATAGTATTCTTAAAACCATGTGTCTTTCTGCAGAAATATTGACAAATGCTGGCCAGCTTTATCTTCCTATATCCTTTATTAAAACTGTATACATATAATTTTAGGGGTTTTTCCTACATTGTGGTTTTGTTAAATTATGTTGGCAAACCCTAAAGTTTCAGACTACTCTAATGGAAGTTTCTATATATCTAATTTCATTGGGGTATAGTGACGTTTATTCACTCAGGTTGATTGGTATGTGTGGTATGTAGACTCCTCTGTAATATCTCACCTTCTGAACAGCCCCCTTCCGTGTGTTCAGTATTTCTGTCTTATGTTCCTACATAAATTTGAATTGGGAAATCAGCTGCAACGGCTTTTAGATAGAATGCTGAGCAGTCTGGTGGCACTTAATCGTTCAGTCTCTACTCAGCCTCACACATCTTTTGCCTTTCACTCTGCCATTGTGATAAAAGGAAAAAGAAAGAACTTTTTTTATGTGCCTAAGGGTGAGGTAAACTCTGATTTGCTTTTTCTTACACTGAAGACTATTGTCCTATTCTCCAAATGCATGTCACCTGAAAAAAAGACACATAGAGGGGAACAACAGACACTGAAACCTATTAGAGGGCAGAGAGTGGGAGGAGGGAGAGGACCAGAAAAAATAATGAGTACTAGACTTAATACCTGGGTGATGAAATAATCTGTACAACGAACTCCTGTGACACAAGTTTACCTATATAACAAACCTGCACGTGTACCTGTGGACTTAAAAGTTAAAATAAGCATAAACAAAACAAAACACACTTAAAAAGAAACAGTAGACCACTTATTCTGAAGTCATACATTACCCTCAGAGAAATATTTGAGGAGACCCTCATTAAGTAAGCCCCAAATAAGGTTTCCCTCAACTGATGCACCATTTGCAGAAAAAGTTCTTTTCAGACAGAATTTAGAAAGCCCCCAATTAGCCAACCAAGAAGGCAAAAACATTGAAAATGCAGTACATTGAAAGCTGAAGTTTGGAACAGTCATTGCTGACTTTCTGACTAATGGAGAACTTGAATCATTTAAGAGAGGCCCAATCTATAGAGGTCAGGCTTAATACAAAACAAGAAAAAAAAAACTTTTATTCCAGCTATGCTTATTTTTTTAAAAGTACTTACATTTTCCTAGATAAAGACCTTAAATATTTCTGCATAAAATCCCATTTCATTTATTGCAATGAATCAGTTACAAACAGCTCATACTATAAAG